ACCCACCCACTCCTACACCCACACCCCACACACCCACACCCACCCACTCCTACACCCACACCCCACACACCCACAGCCACCCACAGCCACCCACAGCCACCCACACCCACACCCACATCCCACACACCCACAGCCACCCACACCCACACCCACCCACACCTACACCCACACACCCACAGCCACCCACAGCCACCCACACCCACACCGACACCCACACCCATCTCCACTTCAACTAACTCATTGGCCTTATTTACCTTGTTTAAGAACTCTACGTATCATTGGTGTCTACAATCATAATGAGCTTTCACTCTTTGTTTTGCTTCATGCAGCCACACTCATTCATCTTATCATAAAATCAAATGAAAGAATGGTTCCGGTAAGTGTCAACAGTTTATTTTAACACGTTTAGAATGATATAAAGAATCGAGGTTATTGAAGAAAGGATTGAAAACTCTGACATACTGGCTTCCTTTAAAGCTTATTCATAATATTTCTAAAACAAAAATAGACGATTCAATTGATGTAAAAGATGAATTATTCTCATTACTTGAAAATCTCAAATTGATCAAAACTGGAATAGAATATATTAGAAGTGACTAAAAAAGATAGAGGGATTGTGTTTGTTAGATATACCGAAAAATGAAATCACTGTTTAAAAAAGAAATTGATATAAAAATACCGTCAAATTTCATTTGACAGAATTTGTCAGATTGAATAAGAACAAAATATCGAGTTCAATGCTTTCCAGAGCTATGCAATATACAAATACATATGTAATTCATTATATATTTGATTAAAAATAACTGTAGAACATTAATTCATGTAAATAAAATACTAAAACTTGCCATTTTTTCAATGTGTTGAAATCTAAAATAGATTTTTCCATTCAGTATGAGAGACTTGTGAAACAATCCAATAAAATCATTTGTCTTTTCATTGAGGAACAGAAAATAGAATTAATCAATTCATCAAAGAACATACTACATTCTGGAATACATCTCAATAACAATCATAGAACAACGGTAACTCATTGAACAGAACAAAGCTTACTCTAAGTTGTCAACAATTTTATTGCAAGATCTGCCAAACTATCTTTAATAGTCCTAAATATATTCAAAAAGTACTTTGTTTGAATAACTATCGCGAAATAATTTTGAAAATCTTCGTGAAATGAAATTTTGAACAAGAAAGATGCAGTTCAACGATAAGGTATACGAGAATGAGGATTGCTTCAAGAGTCTGAAGATTTGCATTGGTTACGACAAATTGTTTAGACAAAATTTCCTATAGATCAGCAGCCTTTTCGAAAGAATTGGCATTAATTGTACATAATGACTTTACTTGGATAAAAACATTACTTTGACAATCGTTTTTTTAAAATCAAAGCACTGCTACTTTGAATCTTACCATAAAAAAATTAGTTAGCATTAGTCTTTGTTCATAATTCAATGATATTTGTATACTGTTTCTTTTCAGGATGGTTTGTCGATTAAATTCGTGTATCCAATAGGCTGCATAGTGACGTTAATAGATAAAGTTCTTGTTCATGTATCTGCACTTCGATCTCTCGACTTGGGCATGAACTATTATGGAACATGTTGGCCCATTACTACTGCAATAGCTTCTCTTACCTATCTACGCATTTCTTTGCCAAGTATAGATATCTTAGTTCATCTTATGTCAACACCACCACTCTTCAAGACATTACGTCAATTACATATATGCATAAGTTACAATCATTCTCCTAAACCAACGGCTAATCTATCGATTCCAATGTTTAATTTACATACATTTACTCTTGTTCAAACATTTTTCTCGATGTATACCATTGAATGGACACTATTTGAAACGCTAACATCTTCAAAAATTATGCCTATTCTTCGACGTGCTAATGTGTCTCTATTTATTGATATTAATGATTTAAATCGTATTAGTTCATCTGCACTTTTCACTGATCATCGTCATGTCAACGTTAATTTCGCTTTTAATCTTTTCAATTGTCCCAAATACATCGAAATGACACAATATATACCACGTGGTAATCGTTTTCATCCACGAGAAATTGTAGGTTTGACATTCGTTGTTAATCATTGGTCTAATAGATCCGAATGGCTCACTGATAGCGATCCTTTTGCAAGTGATTTTCAATTATATTTTCTTTAGTTGATAATCTAACTTTCATTCAATAATATGTTAATATATTCTTTATTTTTATAGAGTCGTGGACATCAATATAATCATCATATGTGGTATTCTCTTCCGTGGACATTTGATGAGTTCTTTCACGAATATATTCCAAAACAATGGATCACTAAAATAGAAGTGTTTGAAAAACCAATAAAACTGATGAGAGTTGATCAATCATCTCTTCGAACTCTAGATGCAGCAGGTCAAATATTGGCATCACCTATATTCTCTTTACCTCATGTTGCATTATCCGATTGTATTGAAACGTTGCATTTGTCCTATTATAATAAACCTATCAATATACAATTATCCTCTCTTCGCAATATAACTCTGGTCAACAGTATCAATTGTTTGAATTATTGTTCTGCATTTCCACCAACTATTCATTCTATGCGTATTCTGCTTTTTTATTATCTTCCTAACTATATGCTACCAAACTGACGAGTGATTTTGGATTCACTTTCAAAGTTGCCACAATTGAGTTCGTTTCGTATATTTATGTATGACTTGATAAAAACTGTCGATGATAAAAGTTGTCAAATGATCGCAAACATGGCATCAAAGTTCAGGGATTTTGGCTTTTGCTTTCGATATAAATTCGACTTGAAAAGTGATAGCGAATTCGACGCTGTATTTAAAGATCATCCAAAATTTATTAAGCAATTATGTGATCGAATACTTAAGTTATCTCCGGACAAGCAACCTTGTTATTCAATTGAAGATGAGGGTTGTGGACTCACAATGTGGTTTTGATGAACAGATACCTCTCTGACAACAATCACGTTTAATTATTGTCAGTCTTCTATAATGAGACATTTTTTGTAAAAAACATCATCAATTATTATTATTGTTCATTTTTGCTAATAATTGTATAAAATTGATTGTGAAGTCACATTATGAAAAAGAAAAATAAAGTTTGTTTTTGCTGACATAATGAATAGTGTTAGGAGAAAAACTATTCTCAAACAATACTGTTTCAACGAATTCGTCCTTACAGAGAGTATTAGGTTGTTTATAGATTAACTGATATTACAAGTGAAAATGTTATGAATTTTTTAAAGTTAGGACAATTTTTGTCGATCTTATTATTATTTACAAAAAATGCTAAGACTTTGAAGAATAATTTAAAGCAAAGTATCTAATGCTACGCTGTTTGTATCTATGGAATAGACAATGGAAAAATTTCAAGATGAAGTACATAAGAGTATGACTGTACTTGATACAGGAAAGAATATTTTATTTGTCAGATGTATACAGAAGGGGATTCAGTAGAAATACCGCAGAAAATGACCCACAATGATCAATGATAATGTAACATATAGGTATACAGATAAATAAAAATAGTCAATAACTGACGAGGGAACCGATTCAATTGATAAATCACTTTAGAGTTCGCATCCTCTGCATAAGATAGACCCCAGTGAGGTATGAAAAATCCCGAAAGGGCATGTGTCCATAGCCTTCTATCCGGAGTTATAGGCATTTTACAAGGGGGAAACAGCGGAGACTTCAGCCGTGAAGTCTCATAAAGTCTTGAAAGTCTTATGAATCCTCATAAAGTCTCTTGAAGTCTCATGAATTCTTCTGGAAGTTTTGAAATACATTTAGCGCATGAAAATTCACAAGATACCAATGAAATTGTCTTGTTTTCGACGGTCTTATTTTGGCAGAAAGATGAAGGTTTTATTGCTTTTTTTTCAGTGTGCTGGAAAAAAATTCAAGTTTATTGGATCTTAGAAAACATGATAGTTAGTAACTGAATGCTTTTTGAATGAAGTGGTTTATTTTTATAAGAAATGTTCCATCTATTCAATGTCAATCTGATGAAGAATTCAGGGTTGCCGGATCATCCGAATTTTTCGGAAATTTCCGAATTTTCTAAGTTTTTCTCACTGCTTTTCGACTTTTCGAATTCTTGAGATGTTTCCGAATTTTCCCGAATCGCAGTATTTTTTAAATTTTCTGTTTGCATTACAATTTTCGATAGATTTCATGTTGCGCTATCTTTACTTTCCTGTAATCATTAGGTAATTGATTTTATTCTTACAAAAAAGAAAAGAAGGGAGAGAAGATTCAATATGATAAGCATTTTTTTTTCAAATCTCATCTAAGATTTGTCAAAATAGCTTCAATGAATGCTTGGTTTTCGAATAAGTCATAAGAATGAATAGTATCTCTAGAAAGCGTAACCTAAATGAAAATGAGGATATTGTTTTACTTTTTAATAGTTATATTTTAGAAAAATTGTTGAATAATGGTGCAAGAGCAAATGAATGTGTTCAATCTGATTAGCTACGTTCATATTTTTTAAATATTAAATCAAATACAGTACCGAGTTTGAAACTCATTGTTGATTATGTATTTTCTATTCCGTGTACGGCCTGTTCAAGCGTGACGGAATCACGTTTTGTCACTTTGCTTTTTCAATATCTCAATGAAATGAAGTGCGATAAGGCTGAAATATTTATAGATTATGGAAGTCTATTTCCTCTACATATATTGAAAGTTTCATTTGATTTTCAGTTTCTTTTTCTACTTTATATGGTTGAAATATAGGATGTGACGGAATCACCAAAAATGGACTTGAGCTTTCAGTGTTGTTCAAAGAATTAAAAAACTTAGCTCAACTATAAATGTTATGAGAAAAGTTTCTCTACAGAAGTTATAGCTCAGATGTCGAACTATATATACAAAAAAAGAAAACTTGAAAAATACGCAATGGTAACTTTGTGGATAGAAAAAGGAGTCGTGACGGAATCACGTTTGAGAAATGATGATGTTTTTGAACTTGAATTTTCTACAGAAATATAAAGTTAGCTCGGCAGGTTAAACAATCTGATGTCATGCATACGTAACGAAAAGAAAATATTTTCGGCAGGGGTGGCACGAAGTCGTAAACATTCGATGGAGGAGGTCGATAATATAGGAAGTCGTTAAAACATTTTTCTAAAGATGACCAAACTTTGAAGAAAGATACAAGCCTTCTTTTGCAAATTGTTGAGTAAAAAGAACGAAAATAACGTAAATTTTGCCATAAAAAACGAAGTTTCCTAGATTGGGAGTCATCCTTGCTTCTCCGCTGTGGCGACACCCCTGATTTTTGGCCCTTTTTTCTGGTAAATGAAAATTATTTTCGAAATTGTCTATCATACATTAGACATTGACACGTAAAAGGAACTGCATACCAGCGGTAACGAATTCTAGCAAAACTTTACTCGATGAAGTTCACTAATCTGGCTGATATTTTCACAGTACGTCGGCCTAGTGAAGTTAGGAAGAAATTAAAATTTTCATCTCAAACGACGGAATCATTATGAAGATATAGATGTTACAAGTATACGTATTTAGATACATTTGTAGTATCTTTCGAGCAATACTTATCTGTTAACTTTGATTTTCTAAACAGCAACAAGAGTTGTAATAGAAACTTTTTTTTCTATAGATGCTGTCGAACATATTCTATCGTTTTATGAGTTTGAAACTGCTGTGTCAATTCATTTTGTGGCTAATACCATGTGGTATCGGTAGAAGTCATATCCACTTTGGTACGCAAAATTTTTTGAACAAAGCCAAAATGGTCGACATTGCCCTATGATTCTAGCAATACAAACTGATGATTTATCTCAAATGTTCGGTTTATGTAATTTGGAAAAGAATCTATGTTGAGAAACTTCTAAAGTCCAACTCTTAATTTGTTTAGACATAATTATGAAAGATGATAGAAGATGTGACTTCTCAAATCTTAGTGCCTGCTTTTTGATTCACTCAATACTTCAAACATTTTTGAAAGAGAATGTTCTTCATTAGGAAATCACTTTCAAGTTAGAAGTGCTGGTATCATATCCCATGGACGATAGTATCTATGGTAAAGGAGCCTCTATTACAACTCTTGTTGTTCTTTAGAAAACCAAAAGTTAACGGATAAGTATTGCTCGAAAGATGCTACAAATGTGTCTAAATGCTTATACTTGTAATATCTATATCTTCATAATGATTCCGTTGTTTGAGATGAAAATTTCAGTTTCTTTCTAACTTTACTAGGCCTATCTACTGTGAAAATATCAGCCAGATTAGTATGATTAATTGAGCAAGGTTCTGTTGGATTTGGCTTTGGCTTACGCACAATGCCTTCCAAATTGCTTCTGCAAATCATGTGATAAAAAATAACTGGAAACTATCATAAAGTGACTCCGAAATGAGCTAGCCGGGCTGTACAATCAGCTCTACACATGCTAACATCTCTTTAGAGCCACAACTTCAGAGAAAGTTAATGTTTCCACGTATTGTGAAGAAAACCTAATCGTTTGAGGGTGATTCCGTCACGACCCACTTGATCAACCGAAATGTTTGGAAAAACAGGCAATCTACTGGTTGATTAGAGCGCAAAAAACTATGTTTAGGACACTGCTCTTTAGAATGAAAAACTTCATATTCCTGACTAAAAATGAAATGAAAGCTATTTTCGTGACGGAATCATCTTCACCAATGTATTACCTTTACAGATATAAATAAGTTTCTGAGGAAGTGATGAAACCTAATCATTCTGTTACCATTAAGTACAGTATCGAAAGCATTGTTGGTTACTGTGATAAGTTTTCGAAAAGCTATATTTATTTATATAAAAATTCTTCAAATACAAAGCCGTTATAAATATTGACTTTTCTCGCTGCTAAGACATGCCTCTTTCGTGGCGCAATCTTCTCTAATAAATATCATAACAATGTAAATAAAAAATGTATTTCTATATGTTATCGACATCGCTCTACACAATGGTCGTATTAGTTTCGAGTAATTGAATAGGTCAACTTCGCCCACTAAGGTGTATCGTTACGTGGACAGGCCGTGTGATGGAACTATAAAAAAAATATTTAAATCGTTCAAATTTCTGAGGAGCTCTTCGTTATTTTTTTTCTTGATTCGAACTTTTAGAACGCCTTGTATTTCTGTTATCAATTTCAACATCTAAATGACCTGAGCAATTAGCCTATGATGAATGAAGCATACATTTACTCATAAGTCTTAGGAATCCGTTTGAAAAATTGATGCTGAATAATTTTGAAGATTGTCCTCTGTTCATGATTATGATTTTCATAGGATTTCGAACAATCTCTTTCGTTTTATATCATTTATAAATAGCATCAACTCTTTATTTAATCTTTTTTTCCAATAACTGGCAGAATCTCTGAGTTTTCCAATCAGAATTTTTCTTCTATGCATCTTGTTTTTCATTGTCCAACGAGATGCGTTTTTGATGATAAACTTCTTCATTAGTCTAAACATATATTTTAAGTTATTAACTGTATTTATGATATAAAATACTAACTTGTCCTAAAAGTACACTCCAAAAATTGCTTATTTCAGAAGATGATTTAAATCGTCGACAACCTGCTACTAGATTATATCCCCATTCTAATTGTAGAAGTTCATCATCAGGAAAACGTCGTTGAAAATAAATATGTACAAAATCAACAAGAGATATTTTTATATTTTGTTTCGAAGCTGTCGTAGATTTTTGTTCAAAATCATATTCAAGCTTCTAGAGTAATTAAAATAATTGAATTTCTAATGTATTTATAAAGAAAAAAAACAAAAAACAAAACGAACTTGTTTCCATATATCTTCAATTAAAAGTGAAACATCTCTTTGCATAAAATGTCGATTACGAATATTTGATGTTGTTTGAAGAAATTTTGGTATTTTTGGATCAAGACCAAGACCAATAAAATTTACAACATTATTGTACTATATATATACATTCAAGGAGAAAAAATTTTAGTACAAAAAAAAATATTCTTTTTTGTTTCATATACAATATCATTGCCGCCTATAATTTCATTAAGTAAAATATCTACAAGCTCATTACTTGTTTTTCCAATAGCTAATTCATTCCAACGTTCTATTCCACCTTCAATTATTGATGCACATCGTTCCCATTTTGGTCTAAATATTTATTTTTACTTAAAGTATGTTTTTTTTTCTTAATTTTATATACCTAGGAGTTAAAGTAGCACGATAAGTTTCACATAATGTAAAATATTTATCTCGATCTTTAATTAAATACTCAAGTGCTTCTTTCAATGCACTATTATTTTAAAAAGTGAAGTTATTATTATTTTCTTTTTTACTTATATTAAATGCATACTTATATTCAACTTTAGCATTACGAAAATTTTGTTTTAATTGTTCCGATGTTTTAACAAGTTCATCATATGTTTGTTGAAGAGCAACATATTCATTTTTAGGAATATATTCTTTATTATCTTCTTTTAATTTATTTATACGACGTTCAGCTTCTGCACAATCAAGACGACATCGTCTAAATAATATGAAGAAATTTTTATTTTCTTAAATTTTCAAGAAGTTTTCTTGAAAAAAACCTTATAGCTACACGAAGTAATACTGGATCATCGAGTACAGTATTTAACATAGTATTTATATATTCAGATGTTTTACCGATAAAACTTGTTTTTAAATCTTCAATATTCATATATTTTTTTTCTGGTGATAGATCTGTTGTAGCCATGGATGATTTATTTGTTTCTTCAGTATTCATGTCTTTAAAACAGTTGATTTCAAATTAATTATACAATGTTATCACATATTGCTATCAATCTTTATTTTAATTAACTTGTTTAAATAAGAAAAAAAAACATACAAAAAATACAGCGAGATTAAAAACAATAAACAACATTAATTTTACTTTTGAATATCAATTTTTTCATTTTCATCTACACCTTTAGGAATTTGAGTTGCTGCTGCTTTAGCCATTGAATATAATTGTACCATTTTACTACTTGGTGAATCCCAATATTCACCATGATCAACGGTTACTTTCATTAATATTAAATCTGGATCATTTAGTCCTTAAGGAAAAAATACTTTTAAATAAGATGACCAAAGTTCTTTTATTTGAGCTTTATCATCAACAAATTCAGCTTTGCCACTAACAGAAACAAATGACATTTTATTTGGATCTGAATAAGATACACTAACTTGATCAAGATTTTGTTTAACTTCTTTAACTTTTGGAGAAGATCCTTTAGTAAAAAACCATAATGTATCATCCCAATTGTCGACTTGCCATTGAACGTGAATGAAGACTTTTGTCTGATTCAATGGTTGTACTAACATATTTTCATAGAAATAAATCTCTTTAAAATTAATCATTATTTACATCATAGCATAACGAACATCTTTAATTAAATCAAATAATTTCTTTATTTTATCATCATTAGTTGTTAAAATAAATGCGAAAATTTGACGTCCAATTAAATTTACATTTTTAAATTGAAATAAAGTTGATTTAATTAATGATTGCTACAAAAAGAAAACTAATATATGATAGAAGATTCATATAAATACACTTACCGCAAATCGATTCATAGTTATATTATTAAAACAATTTATTTATACATTATTGCCGAGAAATAAGAATACGATGGACTTATCAAAGTAAATATAAAACTACCAATTAGTTTTATATGTAAGAGATGGCATAAAACACTCTTTATCTTTAAGAAACAGATGTTATCCATTTAAATGATTCAATAGAACAATATAAAAATTAATTTTTTTTCTTTATCCAAAAGATAAACATAAATATAGTGAAACAAAATCTTTCGAAACATCTGCAATATAAATCTCATTTTAACATCAGTTTTTCCCCTTTTTCTTTTTCTTTATTGACATTGTTATCTATCCGTCCTTCATTCATTCTATTATTTCGACGTATGAACAATTAACACACGTACTAGATTCGTACATCTGTGCAAATACAAATTTAAATCTCACAAATCGATGAGTGAATTTACATGATAATATAAGTATATGATTACATCATCATCACAAAAGAACACAAAACAAAATTCTTAAGTATCACTGAACAAGTCGATTAAAGCAAATCTTTGTTTATTAATGTACTTTTCTTTTAATTAAGATAAATAAGTATTTATATTTAAATAGAAATCCATTTTACCTGATATATTTTCTACTTCAGACATAAGAAGAAAAAAGGCACCCTGTAGCGATAATTGACTACAACTACGTACGACTAGTGTCTCGACAACTTCTTGCATTAATTGTTATCGCATATAAAAGTCTATTAATTGTCGATCGCTTTATCGAAGAAAAAAAAAACAGCAAAAGGAAAAACATATAATAAGAATTGTTAGATACGCATACACCACATACACACACACATATACATGTATATGTCGATTGATCTGACTGTTGATGTATACTGTTCATTGATGATTTAGAAATATGTGTATATGTGTCATATTCTATGGGTCATATGATAGCCAAGGAGAAGTGCAAATAAGATCAAACTCATGGTACATTGAATAGAAACAGAAGAACAATTATTTGATACAAGACGTTGCTGTTGATGATGTTGTAATGCGCCTGAAAAAAAAATAGACAAAAGAATAGTTGAGAATGTATGTGACCTTGATGTATTAATGAAAAAAAAAAGAGAAACGATATATCTTGACATTCTTTACTCATCTGGTTTTTCTCAACAAACCTTTTTCAACAAAAATTTTTGCACTTCTTCGTTGTCTTTTATATGTACATGTCCATAAACCAGAATGATATGGTTGTGCATGACGTATAATTAATTGTGATTTAGAAATATTTTTTTCATTATGATATTTTTCATATATATCATAATGGTAAATATTATATTTATGTGTATGATTTAAACTTGAAAAATGCCATGTTATTGATGATGTATTTATATTATATATAGTACAATCTAATTCAACAGATGAACCTGGTTCAACATATAAACGTGAAGGTTTTATTGTCATTGGTATTTGTACTTGCAAATGAATTTGTATTGATACACTACCACGACGATTTGATATTTTACATTCATATATACCTTCATCAGATAATTTTAAATTTGATATTTCTAAATTCCAATATGAACTATCTAATAATATTGAATATGATGAAACAAAATAACGTGTATCAGAATAAAATACTTGTTCACCAACAGTTAATGGTAAATATGTTAATGTATTTGAATCATATTTAAGCCATGTTACATGATGATTACCTAAATTTTTTACATGACATATTAATATAGCTGTATCGGATATATTTAATGTTTGATTATATGTTTGAGTTAAAATTTGTGGAAATTTATTATTTGAAATAACAGCTGCTATCAATCCATGAATCATTATCATTAGTTGGGTTACTAAAACATAGAGAATAAACAATGGATAAAAGAGATAAAGTTGATCCGCTCACGTTTACTGATTCTACTCAGCATTGCATATAATAATGGCTAATGATGACAAGACTCTATGTAAACGAAGGGTCAATCGTACAAACAAAATATTCGTGGCATTTTTTGTTTTTTTTTGTTCACATAGAATTAACCTTTTGTATGAGAATATGACATATATTGAACTCAACTCTATTCTTGCTAAAATGATATGGATTAATTAAGTTCGAACTTCTATGTGACAGGATAACAAAGACAATATAGTCATCTATCACAATTAGTTTGTTGCTCATCTTCTCACTAACAGAGACATTGATGAATTGTACAGATGTCTAGTTATCACAGGAAGAATAGAAATGTGTCGAAAAGTAAGAGCCTTCATTATCGCTATAGACATCGACAGACTCATTTATTATCTTATCTATTGAATATGAACTGGGGAGGAACAAAATAATGAAGACAAACTTTACCTAAAAAGTAATTTATTGTTGAATTCATAATTAAATTAAAATAATAATAGTTATCATTGTTTAATAAAATAAGAGTAATAAACTATCTATTAACTAATCGCTGCATGTTAATCATGTTTTTTTATATTAACTAGAAAAAATGATTGAGTGAATGAATGAACGAAGAGAGAGGGAAAGAAAAAAAGATGATTATGACAAGCACAGCAACTTGCTCGTTCTCTCTTTCTCATCTTTTCGCTTTCTTTCTCTCACTCACTCTCTCTCTCTCTCTCTTTCTCGTTTGCTTGATGTACTTGTGAAGAGAAAATAAACTTTTGGCTAATGGCATTATACTCACTAGATGAATGCAAAAAAAAGATTAATAAAAAAACAACGATATTCACTTAAAAGAAAAATATGATTGATTATGAACCTTGGCAGATGTTTTTTGCTTTTGTCATTTTTCTATCATTGAAGTTAATAAAGAGACAAAACTTTCGATACCTTTTTTTCTCTATAGGAAAAAAAAAATGTTAAGGTGCAATAAGCAAAAAAAAAGAAAGTTAATGGTTCAATAGTTTGCATTTATTATTATAGATTATAGAGCAGTGAACACCAGTCGCTTTTTTTTTCTTATTTCTTTTATTCTATATAGAATGGTAACATAATAATTGACCTTTGAATTACATGCATACACACACTTTTAAACCTTGTACCATGCGTGAAATTTGATCGTTTAAGTTTTCTACGACATCATCTTAAACTAAGATTCGTCATTCTCAGTTACATCATTATATAGTTTCAACTCAATCCATGGTTCTTAACATGAATCAAGTGACTTTGTTGCTTTATGACCAGCAAGCAATGTACATATATATATATATGTATCAAGGATGAAAAAGATCAATCGTATCATGTGGGAAGTAGTGTCATTTGTTCTTATCGACCTTTTTTTTTCTAGGACATACAATAAATATAAAATTAGTCGTGCATTGAAGTTCTTTTTTTTGTTGACAATCAAAACGTTCGGTGTTAATGTTCTTTTTTTCTGTTATTCTTGCTGAAATGCTGTAGCTGATGCCATCGAAGACAGTTTATTATGATGCGATGAGTGAAACAGCAACCATGCACCCCTTCTTTCTGAGATGATATGTAACGAACATGCACATATTTATATATATATACACATACAACGGACAGTTTGTTGTTATTCAGAGCAACTATTGCATGCATGTAGCATCAAATTGTCTGTTTGACATACATTTATTTTAAACGATTTCTGAATAGAGGACTGGCTGGCGCAAGGCGTAATGGAGGACGAAATATATTATTATTATTATTATTATTAGTGGTCGAAGTTGAACGAGGACGATCTAAGTCGAGAAAGAAAAAAAAAAGAATAAAAGGAATAAGAAAAGAAAAATCATTGATTTACTTGATGTTGATTCATTATTATTTGAATTTAATGGACGAGATTTCCTTTGTAACGATGTAGCTTTTTTCAATGGACGAGCTTGAGTATTTATTGTCGATTGAGCTGAACGATTAGGTACCGCTGTGACATGACGACGAATATTCCTTGGTCGTCTTAAATAAATGAAACAAAAACGAAAATCAGTTATAAAGAAAGTGATAATTAAACAAACTGATATTCTGATTGTCGTGGTAAATTATCAGTTTTTACAGTTGCCGTTGGCAAAGGATCAATAATTGGTCGTTCTATTGAAAAATCTTTTGCTATTCGTTGATTTATCTAGAACAAAAAAATCTTTTTGTTTTTTGGATATAAAAATTTGAATAAATACAAACTCTTATTGTTCGCATTTTTTGTGATTGTTCATGACGAATAATCATGGATATTTGACGAGTAGATGAATATTGTCCAAATATATCATGAATTTCATCTAATACTGATTCAACCTAAATTCACTAAATAAATTTAATAATTTGCATAGATTTTTATTTAATCTACTTGTTTAATTAATTGATCGATTATATTAATATCATCTGGATCAAGTCTAGTTTTTGTTTGTAAACATTGTGTTTGAAAATCAACAGCAAATTTTCTTGTATCCTTGATATAAGAAAAAAAAAACAATCAATAAATATTTCTGTTTAGAAAAATTTACATTTAATGTTTGAATTAGCCTTTTAATATGTTCTGTACGAAATAATTGTCTTGTAAGATGTCCTTTAATAAAAGCTCCTAATTTTTTATGAAGAATATTTTGTGCTTCCTAAAAAAACAACAAAAACAATAATAATTTAAATTGATTTCTTTCTTTTTTTTATTACTTGACGAGTAAATCGAACACGTTTTTGTGGAACTGAAAATGTTGATCGTGCATCTTTAACATGATTAAAAAGATTTTCTTGTTGCTGCTGTGGTGGTGGATCAAAACCTTGACTATTAAGACGAACATATTCTTGTTTTGTATTCATCAATTGTTTTTCATTATTATTATCATCATCATCAGATGATGATGATGAATTCTGAAGTGTATAAGTATTTCGACGAGGTTGATCTGTATAACGATGAACTTTTCTTGATGTTTCAGTAATGGATGAAGATTTTGTTAATGGATACATAACATAAGTTGATGTTTTAAGTTCATTACTAGTTGCAGATCGACCAATGCTTTTACTTGGATCAATCCATGTTGTACAATGTTCGAGATCATCTTGTTCATCATCGGAAGTATCTAATTCCATTGTATGAACATCTTTTTTCATAGAATTCTTAAAATAAAAAGAAAAATTCAAAAGACTATAGTTCAAATGATTGGAAAAGATGATTTATTTACTGTTGTTAACAGGGGATCATCAAGTGTACGATAGAATGATGAAATATCAGGTTTATCTGATAATGCTTGAAGAAGATCTTCCATTATTTCTTGGAACTAAAAACAAAAGAAATGAAAGCACTTTGCCAGATTTAATGATCTATTTTGAAACAGGATGTGTCATGTATGAGATTTTGTAAAGCAATTTGTAGTGCATCGGGTGGTATATAAAAAAAAATCAAGGTTTCTTCAAATTTTGATGTATTGAGAGCTGATACACTAGTTATGATTTTTAAAAAATATATGTGGGACTCATACATTATGTGGTCCCTAAGATGTTGTACGACAAACTTATGCAAGTTTTGTTTCAAGTCTCTATTCGATAAAGCTATAGTCGTTCTTCAATTTTTTATAATCAATAGTTTTCATCGTTGATTTCTTCATACCTAAAAGTGGTCTCTTTTCTTAGACCTAGGTTATTTCTTAATTTTGTGATATTCTAGTGTGTTTAATTTTTGTGTCACATAACACTTGAGTAACAACATGAAACTTACTTTAAAATTGCATACAATTGAGTTCTATGTTTCACAGATAACATATTTCAAAACATCAGGAATTCATTGTCGATTTTCAGGATTACCTCTTAGAATAGACTGTTTTCCTACATGAAGAGGTCGATATATTAATTATATTTTAACAAAACTTAAGAGTCATATGAAAACTTTTTATGTAGGAGTAATTAGTATAGCATCCTTGATGAACTGAAATAACGAAATTCTTCATAAACAGAAAAGATTTTTTGGTCTTCAGACACCTAGAAGAATACGAGAATGTGGAAAAATTTATTTTTGAAATGAACATAAGATATTTACATATTCTTCTAGAGTTTCATGCAAGAATCAAACCTGAATACTAGGAATCAAAGTTTGAAAGAGAAATAATAAAAATAGTAGACCTTCTTCGTGCAATTGTATTTCTGTACTCTCTCCAGGATGACGAAGACCAAAGAATCTTTTTCCATTTATAAAACATTTATTTATATCAGCTCAACAGGAATCATTTCAGACAGCGAAATTGGTCATTCTACGGGACAATCTTACAAGTTGACAGTCAGTTCTTGATGTTCCGAAAGATGTTATGTGCAACATATGTCGACAAGAAATAACGTAAACCTAACAAAAGGAACCATTTTCAAGCGCGAAGAATGTAGCGACCAATGCCATACCGAATTAGTTTTAGAAAAAACAATTTGCATAAACTAATCTAAGAACATCTTAGAGACCATGATATGAGTGAGTACCATATATACTGATCAAGGATTATGATCAGTACATGAACTCTTAGCACATCAAAATTTCAAAAAAATTTCTCATAAAATCTCGCAAGGTCGTTTTATTTGAATTACAGTTTTTGTTTTTCTTTCTTCTCGTATTCGTTTTCGTTCTTCGATATATTTTAAACGATATTTTTCCAGTAACTATAAATACAAAAGAAAACAACGATTTTATAATAAGTAATCAATTCAATGATGATTAACTAACTTCACAATCATTATGTGATAATGAATTCCAATCAATATCACTAAATGGATCATTGTCAAGAAGAGTATCAAGTCTTTCAATAAATTGTTCCATCTAAAAAAAAAGAAAATTATTTAATTCTTTTTTGTTTTTTTTGTTACTAAGCAAATAAATTCTTTTTTGTCTATTATCTTTCATTTTATCATTATGTTTCCTCTACGACCAGGACCTATACTTTTATTACCGGTTGCTCAACCTTCTTTTCGACTTTTTTCTTCACAAATTCCATTGAATTCAAATGCTTTATTATCATCGCCATCATTTTGTAAGACATCATTTCTAATTTTCTTTTTTTTCTTCAAATTTTCGACTTTAAGTACCAAAATCATTTCCAATTTCAATAGAAGGTCGAGGTAAATTTATGAATAGAAAAAAAATTATCGAGAAAATATTTTTTTTTCTTTTTTAGATGATTTTTTTTGTGTTGATCCAAAATCATTTAGTATTGAACAACTCAATAAATACAAAAAAGAAATACTTCAACGTAACGAGATTTTAAATGAAATATGAATACATTCTTGTTTAATTAGTAATTGATAGAGAAAAAAATAATTTTGAAAGAATTAAGAATGATTCAAATGAACGTATTAATGCTTGTATGAGACATTCTATGAAATCTATTTTTTTTAGTTTGTTTAAAATATTATATTTCTAGATAATCAAGGAATATTATTGGCCCAAGAAAGTATGAAGAGACCTTTGTATCATTTAAGTCCTATTTTCTTTATGAAAGTTTACTTCGAAAATCTAGCTATACTAGTTAGTCTTGCCGAAGTTCAGCATCGTTCCAGAGCTATTTCTAAGCATAGATCTGATATAATTTCAAATTTGAGAATTAAAAATATTCGAATATATCAAGTTGATAATACATTAGCGGCAAGAAACTGAGTGTATAGGCGAACTTACACTTTCTGATATCGAAATTCATTGGAATATGTTACAGTGATTATTAAGGAATAAATGTATAACAAAAAATGAATTTCGAAACATATAATCTCCGTTATGTTTTAGAGTGTGATATCAAATCATGAGTCTTCGATCATCATTATTTATTCTAGAAAATTGAGAAAAACGTTTCTCTAGATGAAAAATAATATTATGCAAACAAAATTTAGCATTGACGAGCGAGCTATTCGACCTGTAACTCACCATTTGAACTCATATTGATGATCGTTTTACTGAATTTTAGATTCAGTTTTAACTATTTACTAGAAAATTAAATAACAGAATATTGACCTGCAATTTTGTCCATAGATAGCTCTAATGACTCTTGTAGTATCCTAAAAGTATTAGTCGAAAAAAAACTCCTCTGTCAACTTATTGAATTTCCAAATAAACTCGATTTTTTTGACATATCAATTACAAGCGACTATTTGTTAAAAGTTCAATACTGAATAGGGAACCACTTCAGATATCTCGTTCTGATTTGAATGATTTTTGTCTATAGATACTACCTAGTGTTATAATAGAAATTCTAAAAAGGTTTGGGTTCATATTGAAATTTGACTAAGCTATAATATTTTTAATATGTCTATTTTCTAGTGATGGTAGGCTTTCAGAAAAGTTGTGATTTCGAATTTTGATTTGAAATTTTGTGCATATAGAGAACTAAACTTGATTAACCTACATTACAAAGTCTTTTCGAAATATGAGACTTCCAAGACATAGACCCTTTTCTAAAGAATTATTTAAGATCGAAAGGGAAAATTTGAAGCGATTTCCTTGTTAGTTGGTGGTGGGAATAAAAACCCAATATTTTTTTAGTTTCGTGAAGTTATTTGATAACTTTCATCTGATGTTAACCTAATTAATAGTCGAACACTGTTAGCGTAATTGGTGCACGATTAAAATATAAATCATGATAGGTGCTTCTTCATTGTTAATCTTACATGTACTTTATAAGTTGTGAAAAACGTTTAATAGAAATGAGACCGGTGAAACTCAATTTTGAATAAATTTTTGTTTAGCAATAAAATCCAATTCTGTTCATCCACAAAATATTCCTCATACAACTTTTCTTCCTAATTTTAAGCTTAGTGATGATGGTGAGTAACATTAATCATATATATATTTTTTCTTAATCTCTACATATCTTCAAGGACCTGTCACTTGTATTGATCCGAAAACCTTAACAATTACTCAATTACAACTTTGTAAATATTTTTGTCATTTTTTTTTTTTGGTAAAAAAAAATCTTTGTCTTATTTAGATATCGAAGGAATCACTGAAGAAATAACTTATGAAAAAAAACTTACAGATGAATTTAAAAAAGAATCTACATCACGTATTGAAGCGTGTAAATTATGCCATTGATTTCTTATTGTATCTCATAATTTTTTCTTCAGATCAAAATGGTATTCAACGTGCAAATTACGGTTAAATAAAAACAAACAAATTTTAGATCGTTAATTTTTTTTTTGCATTTTTAGAATTAAGCATACGAAAAGGAAAATAACATGTTCAATTGATTAGAAAACCGAAAAAATATATGCAAAACTGATTAGAACCACACGTCTCACAGAGACTGTTCATAAAGTTTAGAAAAAAAAAACATGATACACAAATATTTAATTTAAATGTTTCCTTCGATGTCACTATCACATATTCTTTCTTCGTCAAATGAAAGAAAAAGTGATTCACTATCATAAATCATTGATGGATCCTAAAAGAGAATAGTTTTATGTAGAAGAATTTCGTTTAAAAATAATATCGTTACCCATTCATCCGGGTTTTCGTTTCCAATTAAAAAATCAATTGCTTCATCTAAAATTTCAAACTATAGAATCAAACAGTTCTTATAAATCATTTCATACTTTTTCCTTCAGATTTGGCACTATTCAAATCCACATGAACTAGACAAAAATAAAATTTATGTAATCATTTTGTTTTCGAAATTAAATTTACCTAAAGGTATTGTGGTTTCACTATCATTTGTTGATTTCTAAACAATAAAAAAATGATCGTAATTATATCTAATGGTCTAAAACCGGGTCGGGTACGCGATCTGGTTCCGAGCATGATCTCTAACCGAGACTGTATCCCACACTTAATGAGATCTCGATGTTTCTAAATATTGTTACTTTTTCAAATTGCTATTTATATAAAAGCATTAAATGATGATGAACTTTATGACGAAGTAACTGAACACATAGAAAAGAAAATGAACTATCAAAAAGATGAACATATATTTTCGTGATGGAAAAAGCGTTCGTGTATGTATTCAAAATTATGATGTTTGGCACCAATACTGTATTCCATTCAAGCATTATCAACAATAAGCAAACGTATACTTAGCAAATCTGATCGGATTTTTCAAACAGAAAGACATCAAGTGACTCTGAAATCATTTAGTTTTTTCTTGTTTCTGTTTATGAAAGAAACTAAATATTATACCTTTTCATATAAAATAAAAGTTCATAAAACCATACTGTGACTATGAAAGTAATTATCGAATGCTGATTAGTTTATAGGACACTAATCATACTATCTTTCTCCTCATAGAGTTCTTTTTTTTCATCATTCTTACTGGTAATTTCATCCGTTTTTTAACTGATGTTGCAACTTCATTTATATTGCCTTGTTTTAAAACATCAGATTTTACTGTTTTACATAACATAATTGTTCGTGTGATATCTTTGGCATGTTGTAAATCAACTTTATGATAATTTCGAAGATGTCGATAAAGATTAACTGGACAAGGACGATCACATGGAGTATTTTTAACAAATTTTGTTAATTTTTTTAAATGATTTTCTAACATATTTGAATTACCATCATTTGAACTATTTGAATAAGGACATGTACATTTATAAGGAACAATATCAATTTCATCGGCTACTGTTGTAGCCTTTGATTTTGAAGAATTAGTTGATATTGTTGAAGAGGTGGATTGATTATTGGTATTGTTTTGAAATAAATCATTGATTACTGTTGATTCAGTACCAGTACGAATGGCTCGAATTAGACGAAGAGCACGTTCACCACTCATTTGATGATAATGTCTATAGAAAAGTTATAAAATGATTCAATATAGAAATTAATATTTAGATTTTTTGCTACGCTATTTGAAATATGAAATATTTGGATACAAGTTTCGAGAAAAGAACGTTTTCTTATCATATTTATCTTTCGAGTATCTCGATAAAACAATAAATTTTACGAATACTTTATTAATAAAAATATAGCATATATCAATGTCTTTTTTTACGAACGATTAGACTTTATTGTTGTTTTCTGGAACTAATGATTTTTCTGTATGAAAAAGTTCGTTAAGCCTTTCGGTTGAATCAGAAACTAGGTTTAAATTTATCAGTCAAAAAAATAAATAGTACATTTATTATCTTCTTCTCAGTTTTACAATTTCAATTGAAATTGGTTAGGTTACGAAGTTCCATAGGTAGAAAACACGTGGGCTTGATATATGACTCTTCGATATCAATGGTTTTAAGTTTGTATTACTCATCGAATTCTTACTAGTACTATTTTCACCTCTCGTTTCAAATAAACTGTCATTATAATACAGTGCACTGGATAATCTGTCTTTTTAAATTGAATTGAGTGTTTCTTTACCTATCAACAGTCATTTAGTTTTTTATTATTTGTGCTCTTATGGAAAGTTACCATGCATTTGATTTTTGTACAAAATAAACTCTGCTAAACAAATGATTTCACGGTAATATTAATGAATAATGCAAAAAATCTGTTAGTGAAATCTCTGTAGAATTAAAATGTGAAACACGCTGTTCCCTATTACAGAGAGATTATTTTATTCTATTCATTCTGCGACATATTTCTTCGTCATCACTTTACTTAAGCCTCTAGAAATACAATAAGAAAGTGGTTCATATATTATAATAACAAGACGTTATTTATATACGGTCTGTCACAAACCGTTTTTGATATGTCTATGACAAGCCATTACTAACAAGAGAATCTCTCGAAGTATTAAATTATTTTTCGACTGAGGTAATGTCTATTTGATGAATGATAGAAAAGTCTAGAATAGTTTGGTTTTCCGAGTGAAATGAATGTTTTCAACAAACAGCTGGTATTACTTTCAGGTCATGTGATAATTTCAAATATATCAGGACAAGAGATACTCGAAAAGTTACAACTTACTCAGCAAACTAATCTCATCAAGAACTTCGTTCGTACGAAGTTTGAGATCAAAATTCGAAAGTCAATTTTTCCTATGATCACAACTTTTTTTTTTTGAAAATCGAAATTTTGAATGAATGCTTGGAAAAAGCGATTTTGACACCTGAAGACTTACCACTGTGAGATCTCTGTCATATCTGTGAGAAAGGATCCAAATTTCAATACTTCTTCTAGATCGCATTTCACCGAAAAATGACTTTACATTGTCATGATTTATTTGATATATTATTAATTAAAAGGAAGAATGAGAGATTTTCATTTTTAAATAAAATACCTTTACTTATATCTATGTTAAATCATAAAGTATAATATGATCTCTCCTCTTCTACAGTTTAAAATGACATTTCAAGAACATACTGAAGATGTGCGAATAGAAGAAATTTTTCATTTATTTTAGTACAAGGTATATTAAATAATGGTTGCTCATGAATAAATTCATTTTTTGTTAATGGACAATAATGTCGAAATCTTCGATCATCATTATAAATATTTCTAAAAAAAAAAAGAAATAATAAAAGAGTTTCTTTAATTATATATTAAATTTTTTGAAATTTAACATACGGATTTGTATTTGTTACAATATCATCTTTTTGAAATAAAATTATTTCTCGAATATCATTTTCAATAGATGATTTTTGTTTACTTTCAATTGATGATGACATAATTGCTTTAACAATTTTTTTAGCTGATTTTATATTTAAATTATGTGATACACGTAAATGTGATAATAATAAACATTGTTTTCTATGACGACAATCAAAATTTTTTATATTATGATTTACACATGTTAAATTATAAACATTATTAAAACCATATGAAAATGGACATTGACCTTTATGCCAATGAACTGAATGTGAAAATAATTCTTGTGTACTATTAAATGTTAATAGAGATTTTCTTTTACGATTTACATTTATTGTATTCATACGATCGAGTACGATTTTATTTGCTAAAAAAAAATTTATAGAAATAAGATTATACAAAACAGAGAAAAGAAAAAATTTCATACCAGCAGTATTAGATAGATTATGTTTATACATAAGATGTTTTTTAAGTGAGATATGTTCTGTTTTATCAGAACAAGGAAAATTTGGCATATTAAAACTTGAAGAAAATTAAAGAGAAAAATTTTAGTTTTTTCATTTTTAATAATTTTTATTTTTACTTTTTCTTAATGCCATATATTCCATAATGTGTTAATGGACAAATACCTTCGAAACTGTGAATTATTTTTTCACTCATTAGAATATTTTGAATGAAATAAAAAAATAATAATAATAAAGCGAATGATGAAGTTGAAACATAAGTAGACCAATTGAAGTAAGAAGGATTCTTACAAATTTTCGATTGGTAGAAAAAATAAAGCAATAGCATGACATTAATTCAAAATGCTGCCGGAATGAATATAATTAACATATGGGATTGCACAGTATTTATAACATATGGTGCAATAATCAGTTTTCTGTGGTATATAAAAAGGATGATGAATTTCATTTTTTTTACAAAGCATTTTTTTTTCTTTTGACAATTTTTTAGAACCATAATTCCATTTCACATATTTCTGGTGAGCATTATAAATTTTTGAATATATAATATTGTCCTAATAGAAGATCTTTTTTAAACTAGTAAGTCAACTCGATTAGCATTACATGAGAGTCTATTTTTTAATGTTACTTGGAATATGATACATATTTTACATTCACTTTTTTCTCATTAGATCGACTAAAATATTAAAACGTACGTATTGCGTTCAACAAAATGTATCCTAAAAATGCTTTTTAAGGATAACAAACATTGTCATGTTCTTTATAGGCCATATCGACTTCTATTGATAAACTATTATAGACGAAAATAAATACAGTATCTCTCTTATTATTCGATCAGGTTTATTTTTAATTGCTGCCATAAACTGTAATAAGCATTCACAAAGTACCTTGTGTAAACAGTTTATTTTTAAGTCAAGTTTTTTGAAGATCAGAGTAGTTACTATTATCATTTTTTAAAAAGAACATGGTGGGTTGAATGCTAATAATATTTCAACAAAAGGCGCTGGACAGCGCTGCAACTTTCAGCATTCGAAAGAGGGCAATGGGGGGCACAAATTTATGTAAAAATGGAAAATTTTCGATATGTTCTTCAGACTAGTCCTAGCGAAACAAAGTTGAGGAAAACAGGCTATTGGTCAAAAAAAGAATATATTTTTAGTCTTTACTAGGTAGGCAAAGCCTATAAACAGTCCAATTTCTAATGACACAAAAACCAAATCTTTATCACTTTTCATTTTCGAGATAGAGACTTTTTCTCAGAAGCTATCGAGCAGGAAAAATTCTTACGAGGAAAAAAAGATATTGATTCATAGGTTTTTGAGCATGTTGTTCATGGACGGAGGTGGTGTGGATGTAGGTGAAGACAAGATTAATATCCACGTCCTACCCATCACTCCAATATGGCTCCATGGGTTTTTTGAGCATGATGATCATCTAGGCAATGTTGGTTTTCTGTTTAGACAGCTTTTTCTAACAGAAACATGATAATCAACCGCTCGAGAATCTGAAGTTTGCTCGATCTGAGGCAGAGTAACGAGAAATTGGCGTTTTTCCATGATTATTGTATAGTTTTACGTTGAATGTGAGCGTGTATGGGTATGGGGTGTAGGTGTTAATCTTGTCTTCACCTACAATAACACTCACACCCTATAAACCTAGGCCGCCGAAAAAAGACTGAAAATATATTGTTTTTTGGATCAATTGTCTGTTTTCCTCAACTTTGATCCGTTAGAGTTAGTCTGGAGAACACTTCGGAAAAATTTTTCTTTTTCCATGAGTTTTTGTCCCCCCGCTGTACTCTTTCGAACGCTGAAAACTGTAGCTGACCAAAGCTTTCTGTTGAAAAGTGATAAGCATTCTATCCACCCTGTTCTTTTTAAAAAACAATAATAGTTTTTCAAGGATAGGATCTTGAAAAAATTGAAAACCCAGGTTTTCACCTTTCTGCAACGTTTATTAATCTAGATACATCAACTTTATGAAAGGCACTACCCAGGTGATTCGATCCGACGGGAACTCGTCGGAGGTTGTCGGCGTCCTAGCCACAGGATTCCGACAGGAGGTTCCGGATGTCGGAATAATCAGGATCCTGCGAAATCCCTGAAACTCCGACACTTTCCGACATCCAGAACCACTTGTCGGAATCCTGTGGTTAGGATTCCGACAAATTCCGGCGAATTTCTATCGGATTCGACAGGGTGAATTCGACCTGGGTAAAGTCAGTATTTTCGCTATCTCATATGAAAACATCCTTTTTTGTGCTTTCCAGAAAGTTGATGTATTTCGTTCAAAAACAGTCTTGAAGACCTAGTAGACATAAATTTTCGTGGAGAATTGTTTACTTTGTCCTTCAGAGTAATTCAAATAGATTTCCAAGAGATGATAGACTCTTGTTGTAATTTTTTAGACTCTATCCTTGGTCAACTAGGAATCATTTTCACTTTTGAAAACTCTTGTTAGAAACCGAATTCTCTATATAAATCACTATTTGGGTTCTTATGATAGTTTACGGCAGTTATTGAAAAGAATCTAATCAAATAGTTTTGGGAACAACTACATCTAGTAATACAGTAGTTTTTTAAATGACCCTATAAATATCGTCATCTAGTGATCTGTATTCGCTATTAATTCTCTTCTGAGAAAAGCTAACATTGTTACAGGATAATCCTGCCTCGTTTAATTATTCATCAGTATTGATAGTACGATGTCAAAGAACTCCTCCTATGTTGTTACTACACTTATGACAGTGCTATATTAATTCCGATCTTGAAAACTGTTCCAACACCCGTTTTGCACAGTTCACAGAAATGAAATCGGTTCAAATTAAAAAAAAAAATACGATTTGATTCCATTTTGAACAACTCCCTTGACCATATGAGGTTCAACTGTCGCAGGTTTAGGTTACTGTGCTTATAGTGAACTACAAAAAAATAAAACAGCAGGAACATAATGATGCTTTTCGCTTGAGTAAGTTTAAAAAATATTGGAATTCATTTCGTAGAGGAGATTTAAAAAGGAATACGTTTTCAGAAGATATGAGTAGAATTTCAAAAGAATCTATTAAATTATTTTTTGGAATGATAAGATAGATATTTCTTTCTATCAGACAAACCAAAATCGTATAGTATTGAAAGTTCGCTCTCGAGAATACATACACGTAGTATTTATTCAACGAGTCAATGCTTTATCTGCCGAACACCTTTCGACAGATGAAGTCTAAAATTCAATGACTTCATGCCAAGTTCTAGTTTTTTTGTCAAGTTTGGAAAAAATACGGAATTTGGTCACTGAAACTTTCGCTTAGACATTAATCTTTTCAAACTTTGTTTCATAATTCTTCTCTATACTTGAAAAGAAGTAGATGATTATCCGACACATTCTATAAACAGATCTTGAAACTCTTTTTTTATTTCTTATAGATTTGTTTTTTTCCCCAATGTCGTCACATCCGTCTAAGAAAATCAAATTAGAAGACTTACCTGCATGTCCTTATGGTATTTTGTTGTCTTATTTCTATCTTTCGTACGTACAACAGTTATCTATTTTTAGGTAGCACATGTTATCGTAAAAATCCTGCTCATTTCAAGGAATATTCACATTCTGACACTGCAGCAACTTCAAGCACTACAACAGAAGTTAAAGCGAGTATGTTGACTGGTTGAATTTTTTCTTTCGTTGCAAAATTTTCCTTTATTACTTTTTTTTTTTTTTATTAAGCCAATAACAAAACATTACCAGTGTGTCCATTTGGTGCTACTTGTTATCGAAAAAATTTACTTCACTTTGCGGAATTTAGTCATCCATTTAATCTTCTTAATCCTGATGCTGATAGTAGTGATGAGGAAGAAACAACTGAATCAACTAAATCAAAAGAAATAGTTGAATCTGGAAAAAAACGTAAAGCAGAAAGTGAAGAATATGATGATGGAGAAGAAACAGAAGAATACAATTCAGATGATGTAAGTTAATGTTAGATAGATTATTATTTAATAGAGAATATTTTTATATATTTTTATATAGGAAAGTGCTTATGATGTTAAGCTTGAGAAAACTTTTTCCAAAATGAATGATGATGAAAAACGTTTAATGATTGAAAGAGTAAGTATGATTGAAAAGTTTCTTTTTCATCTATTTAATATTGTGATTAATTTTAGGCATTTGAATTAAAAGAAAAATTAAAAGAAAAACTAAAAAAATCACGTGAAGAAGCTGAAGAACGACAGAAAGAAGTCGAACAACTTCAAAGTAAAGTAAGTTATTCTTATTCTTTGTTCTATCTTTCATTAACTTCATAATTCTGTAGCTTACAGAAGGTGCTTTATTAATGGAAGGTGAAGAAGAAGTACTAAAAGGTACTACTGTTAAATATTTTGAACTTTTTCCTGAACGAAGTTATAAACAAGGTAAACTTTCTAGTAATAATGGTTATTTATCTATTTTTATTTATTTATTGAATAGGATCAGCTGCCGAAGTACATTTCCGTCTTGCTGAATCACAATTTTATCGTTTATTAAGTGGATATGCCACGTAAGTGATTGAATTCATGAAAAATTATGCACTTTATGACAGCAGTGGTGTGAGGTTCGAATAGTCTCTTCTAATGGTTGCGTAGGAACCGTTTTATATGTCTTTCCACTTGGAATACATAGATGAATACTCACATTTCCGATTATTATGAATTAAGCACAATACAGCAAACTAGAATAATATTAGAACGGCAATTTATGACCGCACATTATATACAACTAGCGAAAACCTATGCATACTGCATGGTCGTCTGTTGTCATCACGAAAGTAAGCTTTCTCAGACGGTGAAGAAATCGGCAAGGATGTAGTTAGAGCATTTACCTTCATTACTTCCGCAGGAGTCATTTGTGTGTGTATGTGCATGTGGATGGTCGTAGGTTTGGAGTAAGGATGAAGGTGTAATGTGAGTGTTACTTTATGATCTCCAATACAATCGCCACCTCACCTACCCACACCCTTACTCATAAGCACATCCATTCTTATTCAACAACACCTACTCATATTCTCTCACCTCCATACCATCCTTTTCTTAGCCCGATATCGCCTCGCTCACCCTCACATCACACCTGCACGCAACATTTTTACTCCATAACCTCTACCAGCTCTAACCTAACGCTCTCCCTTCACAACACCTTACACCAGTCCTCACTAATCTATTCTTTCTCCACTGGACCCTACATCATCCCATACCTAATCACTCTCATTGCATCACTTGCTACACCAATCCTCATCCACTCACTCTCGCTCCACCGTACCCTACACTACCCCTCATTCATCTATTCTCAATCACACAGCATCCTACATTAGTTCCCACCTAGCCACTCTTATCGCACAGCACTCTACATCTAATCACACGTGACCCTTGACTTTTAACCTTTGATCCGGCACAGACACTGAACATTATATATACAGATGATAATACAGTCATGACCAAACATCTTCCACCTCTTGTATCTGAACTATTATACATGCTGGTGGTCTGAAAATTTGTGAGCAAATACTGTCCTAAAAATTTTCTTAAGTATTAATCGAAGATTACTATCTCTGAGTACTCCGTACCAACAAAATGATTATTTGGATCATACTTACATTGATCAGGGAAGATCCCTAAGTGATCCATCACTTTTAAATCGAGACAATGTGCATTATGTAGGCCCTAATGAGCTATAAATATAAATACCCTGAAAAGAGTTCGTGCTGATAGCGTACTATTGCCGAGATACTACATTTTTATAGTATTTTGTAGCACAGTGCCGTGGTCTTTCCTTCAGGAACATCACAAAAATTGAGCTTGGAATTTCGGCTTGAAACTTGTATAGTGACATCTCTTAGCGACAATAGTTTATTGTGAAAGTTTCAGATCTTATGTTTGCTTCCATTCTGAAACAAGACCCTTCAAATCTGTCAGAGGGTATGAGTGATCTACAGGCATACTCTCATCATAACTGTCTCTTCGGATAGGAACAATCAAGAAATCTGGAACTTTCACAATAAGCTATTTTAAATAAGATCTACCTCTATACAAAGTTTCAAATGGCAATTCTAAGTTCAGTTTTTATGATGTTCCTGAGGAATACCACAGCATTGTACTAAAAAATACTATAAAATGTAGTATCGGCAGCAGTAAGCTATCAGTTCGATGTCTTTTCATGGTAGTCATCGCTCATTGAGGCTTATATAATGCACATAATTTCGATTTAAAAGTGATAGATCACTTGGAAACCTTCCCACGTTCGCGAAAGATTCTTTCAGAAAACTTTAGTTACGGGCAAAGCTGATGTACAAGTTTCAATTCGATTTAATGAACTATTATTGAGTTATGGTTCTCAAAGGCTGGCAAGTAGTATCTCCCGACCAGAATAAGGAAGAATAGACCGATTCACAAAGTTCTTTTCTCGAGTTATGAAGTTAAAATGATCCATAGATGCGATTCATTACCATTCATAATAATCTTTATTTCCTTTAAATACTCGAGATAAATTCGCGTTTCAGACCAACATTCTTAATGATGTATGTGTACACAAATTTTCCGACCTATAGCATGTATAGTAGTCGAGATACGGGCCGGGTAGGACTTCTGTCTATTACTGCATATGACATCATTGGTTGCGGTTTCTTGTCGTTTGTGTTGACTGCAATTACTATCCTGAACTAATTGCACCATAATTTCATGGTAAAAAAATGATCCTTACTTGAGTCTGTACTGTTGATTTCTGGTCTTATTAGCAGTTATACTGTTTATAGCACTTGCTAATTAAGAAGAAAGAATGGACACGAAACAGGAAAAAGTCATAGAAGATTATTTTGTATAGAGTTCTATTGTAAGTATTAAACCATATATAAATTTATCTTTCCGATAAGAGTCCTTTTAGAATATAGTGAGTTTGATAAAGTCAAATAGAAATTTCCTGATGTTATGCTAAATTATGAACAAAGGATATCTCACAATAACTGAGAATACATTGTCAGAGGTATTTTTTATACTTTTTCTTGACGCAAAAGGCTGAAATTTTTATTACATAGATATCTAACCGTGATCTTTAATTTTGCAAAGTTTTAGCTCTTTCGATAAAGTTAGTGCTAAAATCATGGCTCACGATGTGGGCAGAGATAAAGTAGTCTAGCTCTTGTCACTTTTTCAAAGTGTCTGCGACATTTTCTGATGCGCATAGCTTTTCAGCAAATCCGTCAGACTGTACACACTACGTACCGGCTTTATGCATAATGTGAACTATTTGTTGAATCGGGCATACAGTGCAGACAAGCTATTTCTTTTGATACTTATCATGAATTGTCTGTAGAACTTGGCAGACAATGCATAGAAGAGGTTCTCTATGGAATCTGACATACAGTTTATAGATAGATTGTTCGTAGAATTTGACAGACAGTGCAGAGTATCTATTCATTTTTGTGCATAATATAGATCATTTGCCGACTTTGACGGGCAGTCTAGGGTATGTATTTGTTTTGGTGCATAGAATATACTGTCTGTGAAATTTGGCAAGCGTAATGCCCATTGAATATTCTCAAAAGCGCAGTGAGATTGGTGACATCAAAGCACTTTGTCGTTATCTTCATTTAAAACAGTAAACAGAAGAAATTTCAATGAATGCTGTAATGACTGTATGATTGTAATAATATTAACTTTAAAAAAAACAGAACAACATACGATAGTAGTTGACTGACTTTGTATACATATGAGTCAACTTGTTAATATATAGGAATGCAACAGTGACAATGATTCATGAGTGTACCGTTCACTGGTCCAAAGATATACAGTACACTGTAAGCACTGGTCATGACGTACTACAATTAAAGTTACTTGAGTTGCATTGATTCTAATCAAAACTCACTCTGATCATTTCATAATCGAGAAGTGCACATTGTGTCGGTACACATCTAGCTACTGAGATGTATGATCGTATTTTTGAAACGTCATAAGCTGTTTGCATAGAGTGGTCACTTGATCATTACAGCACTGAGTGTACGCGTATGACAGTCAGCATGAGTATTTTCATACAACTGATATCTGCTGGCGTAAAGGTATCTGAATATGAAAGATGTTGATGCAGAGAACTTGGGAATACGGTTTCAACTAGTACCATTAAGGTCAATAATGTTAGTTAGTACACTAGGAACCTACGTTAATAGGCGATTTCTACGATTATTCGGACACGTTAAGGCTTATGATATCCACTAATGTCCATCTACCGGTCATCACCGTAAGTTTCTATAGCCCCAGTGGCCCTATAGCTGACCTCATCATCACACTCGGACGCAAGAAAAGATTTGATCTGCCGTAGCATCGTATACCCAGTTATATAGTTTCGAGCATCATCATGAAGACTAATAATGCTGGTTAGGACACCAGGAACCTACGGTGATGGACATTTTCTACCATTATTCGGGCGACTTAGGGCTCGATGCTTCCGATAATGCCAATACGCCGATTTTCATCTTAGGTTTCTATACTCTCACCGGCTTGATCCTACTTGATATTCAAAATCTTTGATGAACGTTTGTAAAAATCACTTTATTTATACAACAAGTCATTCCTAATTGAAAAATTAAGTATGCAGGTTTTCGGAATGTATCACGTAAGATTAACACAGGAATTCATTAAAAATTGATCAGGACACCGTTCACTGGTACACCATCACATCCCTATTGACATTGCATCTAATTGATATATATATATATTCACGTTTTGTTCTTGTACAGTCACATATGGCTACTACAATAGAATCTACGAATATAATTTGTTCAGATTATGGTAAATCAGTGGCAAAAAATTGAAAAGAGGGGATGCGCAGGATTACCCTACCTTATCTTCCACGATAAAATAAGGTAAGGGTTAGAAGAATTTTCTCAGTTCCTCTATAGAGTATGAAAAATGCCTATTCTTGATACCCCTATTGGATACGTCTTGTAGTATTTATCACTAGTAGATTTTTCGAACTAGAATAGTATTAAGGTAGAGTGAGATGGTAATGTTGCAACATAAATATTCATACGCAGATGGGAAAGGATTCATTTTAACATGTAACAATGAGCAGCTTTTATTTTGGAAAAAAAGGAGAAAAAGTATTTTATTTTTGTAGAGAAGTTTGTAAGCATCATCAGCTTCAGTTTTGTTTTTTTCTTAATTTAAAAGCTTGAAAAGCGCAGGCTTCAACGTGTAACAATGCAGTCTTTTTATAGACTTTGTCTAGGCGGATGGATTCTCTACAGAGTAGGGTCAGAACAGAGAAGTGTAGAGGTTTAGCAAGGTAAGATAGGATAAGGGTACAGAGTACGAAAAAAGCTTACTCTGAACATTTTCATTGAAAGGATCATGCTCGTCAAAACCGTACAATGGTTGAAGAAGCTATTCAAACTAAGTATGAACGATTACAACCATCAGCATTTTGCATGTCGGATGATAAATCTATGGTAGAATTCAAGTACAATAAAAATTGCAGAAAAGCTTAAGTCGGAACTAGTCTTACGAAAATTTGTGAATGATGTGTGACAAATAAATAGCCCCCTTACACACTCTAAAAAACAATCGAGAGTCTTTACTAAAATGCTTGAACAAAAGTAAAATAAATGAATTGTTGTACTACATTTTTGAGATATGTTTATTAGATAGTCAATCGTGACACGGGAGCTAAGGATTGTTTTAACTATTTAGGAACGTATTTATACTTAAAATGTTGTGGATTTAATGAGAAATTTCGTCTTAAGTGTCCATCAGGTCGGAAAACAGAAAAGATCATAAATGCTCTGCCTTGAAGTTAAATTGTCTTAAAACAACATAGAGTATTAGTCACACAGTTCGTAACACAAATATTTAATAAACGAATAGAATCACTAGATAGATATGTTGAATTTTCTGACATATAAAAAACTGAAAATGTGTGGGATGTACTGAATGAAAAAAGTCCGCATAATTGTTTGATAAGTTATTACAATCAGAAAAAGAATATGCACAAGAATGGAGGGAAGCGAAATCAAAATTTAGGATCCAGTCTGAAATTCCTGTTCCTCGCAGAAAATCTGAAAGAAAAATGTGGAAATGTAATAGATGAAATACATCATCAATTATATTTGTTCACAGAAAGCAATGAAGAACATGTTCATCCACACTTTATTATGATTTAACCATTATGAAAGAAATTGTTTTGTAAAATTTCTTTCTATTAAATTTTATGAAAATATCACTGGTCAAGAAATACGCAAGTCACAAAAAAAAGCATTTACGAAAATCATGTATTTTTATCTTATGTATGCATTTCAATACTAGTTTTACCAAGAGAGCTGACACTGTGGAACAGTAAAGATCATAGTTAGATATATATCTAATAAAAATTTCCGCCTTCTACGTTACGCAAAAAACCCTGAAAAATGTCGTTGACAACTTATCCTCAGTTATTATGGAATACTCTTTATGAGATACTTTAATGACACGTGATGGAATCATGGCGATAAGATCTAATAGATTAATATAGCTCTTCACTACTATCTCACAGCCACTTGCATACATTATAATTCTGTTAGAATATTTATAGAGGATTTGTTTTTTTCTATTCTAGAGCACAAGTAGTTAAAGTTGAATATGTATGTAATCCTATCTTAATTAACAATTTCAAGTATGTATTCAATAAATCTTTTGTTAAATAATAATTTTTATTAATGACTTGTGTTTTTTTAGTAAAGCACGTGAAGAATTAAAAAAAACACGTGGTGTAGAATATTCTTATCCTGTTTTGGCATTTCATGGCACAGCAATTGCCAATATTCAACCAATATGTGAAACAGGTTTTAAAGTACCTGGTTAGTAAAATTTATAACAAGAAAATAATTTCTTTAGCTTTATTTTATTTTTACAAGGTCAAAAAGGATTTAAACATGCTACTGATACTGGATATTATGGACGAGGAACTTATTTTAGTGTAAGAGTTTTTAATAAATAATTTTTTAAGTTTGAATAAAAATCGTTTTTGCTCTAGGAATATCCTGGTTATTCAATGGGATATATAAAAGGTTCGACGAAATTGTTATTATGTCAAGTATTACAAGGAAAAGTATGAATAACAAAAATCGAAGAAAAATATCTATAGTCTGTTTTCTTCTTAAGGTATATCAATGTACTCAATTGATTACTGGTGGTGGTCTTCAAGATGTAAGAAAAATTGATTATTGATGTATATTTTACTTTTTATTGAAATCTTAGGGTTACGATTCACATTGTTCACCTTGTAAAAAGGAACTAGTTATATTTCGTAGTGATTATATTCTTCCTCAATATATCGTTCATTATAAACTAAATGCAGGAGAGTTCAAATATACAGTATGTATATACTTATATACATATATTATATGCTGAAAGTGTTTTATAAATTTTCATTTAGCCACATGGTATTACTAAAGAATTAATTAAAAAGAAATTAGATAAAATTGGAAAACTATACAAAAAAGCCGTCACGAAGAAAGATCAATCGTAAGGATATTTTATTTGTTCATTATATTTTTAGTGTTCTTTTTTTGTATTAGGATATTTGCTGGTTACAAATTTGTATTTATTGGTCAGATGGCTGATACAACTTTAGCAATCGATACATTAGTTCAACGATTCGGTGGTCATGTCTGCAGTAGGATAATGTTTTTTCTAGAAAGAAAAAAAAATATTTTTCTTGTCTATCTATTATAGAGAATGAGTTAGGCTCTAATAGCAAAAAAGGATCAAAAAAAGCGGCTTATGCCTATTATGGATTTAGTAATTACGACGCACCTAATGTAATTATATGTTCCGTAGCTGAAATGGAAGCAGCGACTCCATCGGTAGAATTACAAACGTATAAAAATATGGGCGTAAGCTATTATATCAGTTACTTTATTGTACTTATTATTATTTTTGTTTTTAGTTTCAAACATTTTATCGTGAAGATTATCTATATGATTCAATTATTGAAGGTGCAGCAAAATCTTTGGATGAATATGCACATGATTGAATGATTATTCAACAATTCATCTATTTATTTTTATCGATGATAGTATAACCTCTGTCCATAACACTGTGATCTTATTATTTGTATACTTTATTTTTAATATTATTTTTTGGAAAAGATAATATTTTGATGAATGATTCAAAATGATATATTACCAAGAATTTTCGAAATTTTCATTTAATTTTCATACATACAAAATGCTCAATAAATCCTTGATTCATATATACTATCGATTAGAAAGATGAGACATGATCATGATCTGAAAAGGTGATCATCATTTCTCTAAATTATTTTATAAATACTCAGTTAATAAGGTCATGATGAGTTTATCGATTGAGTTGATGTCAATTCAAAAACATGTTTGACTAATTTAAAGAATGTTCATCATGATAGTGAGCACGTGACTGTGCAATGCATCTAACTTTTAGACAATATCTTGAAAAGAACAAAAAAATAATATCATTATTTCTTCATAATGACATGCCTTCGCGTACCTATGAGAGCGATGATCTCACGCGTTAATCACAGGAAGCTATTTACGTATAAAATATGATTGTGGAATTACGTTTCATAGCGTCATCAACTCGCATACCACGGCGAAAAAGTGGTTTAAACAAGTCATTGACAGAAGGGTTGTTCATGGATCCGAAGATTAGGAGGAATGTAATAGAAATTTTTACAGAGATAGTACAAAACTCAACAATCTCTGACAATATTAAGCTGAACATTAACGTAGAATTTTCAATTTTTAGTTCGAATGTACAGCTTACCCTCCACCCTATCTTTGTGAGGTCTGCCAGTCTGAAACTGGCACAGGTCCTTACTTTGGGGCCTTTTATAGGCAATTCAGCCCGTCTATCTGTCAGATATTTTCTAAGTTTGTAATAAAAAAAATTTTCTTTTGAGCACGCAACATAGTTTGTCAACTATGCAGTAGAGCATCTTTATCATCAGAAAACGAAAAACCGTAGGTTTTATCATTTTGGTCAGATACAATTATGGTTAAAAATAGATAAGGACTACAACATTCGTTATCAATTTATTTATTTAGTTAATCTATCGACTTCGCTAAGTTACTGTTCGCACTTTCTCTGTGATTCTTATTTATTGTTCCGTATGAATTGTTGATCAATGTATATTATTCTCTTATTTTTTGCATTATGAAAAACAATTCAATTACAATTTCTGTTTCATAAGTTCAATGTTTCTTTTCGATTGTACAATATGCGGATGCGTTGATGAGAAAACTCTGTCCTCGATATCAAGTGATTTTTCGTAACACGAAAGCGCTTTCGAATACTTGCCCAGTTTCTTATATACCGAACCGATGTTGTTGTAGCAAGTACCCAACAAAGGATTGTTCGAAGTGAGAGTTTTTTCAAAAATGTCGAGTGCTTTTTGGTAAAATGAAAATGCTTTCAAGTATTCGCCCATGTTATAATACGCCGTACCGATATTGTTGTATGAAGTAGCCACGGAGGAGTGGTTCGGAGAAAGAGTTTTTTCAAAGATATCGAGTGCTTTTTTGTGCGATGAGACTGCTTCCGAGTGTTCACTCAAGCTGTCATACACTAACCCAATGTTGTTGTAGCAAATAGCCATGGAGCGATGATTCAAAGGGACAGTTTTTTCCATAATATTGAGTGACATTCTGTAAAATTCAAGTGCTTTTTTGTATTCTCCTTGATCATCTTTGAGCAGTCCAAGATTATTATAGCAAGCGCCTCTATCGGTATCATTAGGTGTTTGCTCGAGTAACATGGTGTACACTTGTTCAGCCTTGTCATTCTCACCTTGTCTATGCAATAATGACCCCATTCGCACCCATCCTGTTCCCCTGATCTGTTTTCGCATTCGTTTGGTAAAAGCACTGAGATGTTGGTCCTCCTTGTCACTAGGAAGCGTGAGTTTGACTTGCCACAACTTCAGTCCACTATGCTCAATTTCTTTGATTTCTTGGACACAGAAAATTGTGTGC